GGAATAGTGGGGGCATTGGGGAACTGACAGCTCCCTGTACCACAGTGACAGTCTGGAAATAGCCCAGGAAGACTTTGGGGTTTGGTAAAGATGCCCCCTGATGTGTGGCTACAGCATCTGTCCTTTGTTTTGCAACCATCCCAAGCTGGAAAGGTTCACTGTTGTCACTAGAGGTTTGAAGGAGACTTGGAGTCCTCGGCATCCTTTTCACAGGTTTTTCTGGTAAGCAGGAGAAACAAGGTAGCAGCAGGGAGACAGCAACTGAGTGTCTGTGAATCTCTACATGTGCTTTTCTCTCAGCTGTCTCTGGCATTCTGTCACGGACTCTTCCTCTTGTACCCGTCACTTAACCTGTGGTAGCCGAGCACCCGTCCCTGAGTAACACTGACCTTTTAGCCCTGGCCTCTAGCTTAGATGTGCACACTTGCACATGCGTACACACCCATGCCAGGTGTCCATGTCAAGTATGCATGCCCCACACCCACGAGCCCTCTACGTTAACAAGACCAAGGCCCCAGGTGATAGCCACAGAGGTCAATGGCATAATGACGTAGAAGCCTGGTCATCTGCATCTACCCTACAGCGTTGTTTGGCCAGATGTGAATATACAGGGACATGACTCCAGTGTTTCAGGATGTTTATGGGTGTGAGACCGTCCCATGCTGTGGAAGAGGTTTCATACCACTAAGCTCCTCAGTGAGATGCTAAGGAAACTTCTCTCGCAAATGTCTCCAGCAACCTAATCCTTTGAGTGTCTTCTTCCAGGGTTTTTGTACAAAGAATCACCCGGCCTGGGCTATCCCCGCCTGCCTTTGTGAACATCAGCACTTTACAAATCCCCCACTCAATTCTTGGGATTTTGAGAAGAAAATGCCTTAATCTCTCCCCCACCCGCTCCCGCCCCGTCCCCACAGCTCTCATGATTTTAACCTATTTTTTACTATTTCAAAATTTCTGTTCAATAAATGAATAATTAGGTCTCCTTTTGGCTTTGCTAGTGAAAAATAGACCGTAATATTTAGATTAAAACAGTGTCATATCTACACTGGAAAAATACATCCTGGTTACATGAATTCCTCCTCTTCCCTTTTATTCTTGGTACCCTGGGGTGGCCTAGTGGAGAAGCATACCATTTGATTCTCCTTGGGTGGTCAGACAGGACTTGTAAAGACACTTGTTTGTTTTGTGTTGAGACTTCAAAGGCACACAGGCTTCCCTACATAAAGATGTACTAAGAAATAGGGATTTTTTTGAAGTTGCTATGTATAAAGGGAAATTCAGAGTAACCATCTTCCTTTAGAACTACAAGCTAATATGATTAGAGGGTCCCTTTTCAGCAGGAAGCTTTCTTGCTCCTATCTCTGGTCATTACCACAGCCTTGTGGGAAATTGGTGCTTACAGAAACCATCTCCACCTGTGCTTTTGTTTTTTAGCCCATTGTACAAAGATCTACTTTCATTTTTAAACTACATTTATTTGTTCATATTTAGATTTTAGATGTTGGAAGAACTCAAAATTGGAGTGAGTGTGTGTGTGTGTGTGAGAGAGAGACAAAAGATAGATAATGCAATAATCCCGTTGCTTGAGAGATGTGTGTTCTCAAGACATATTTCAGTCCATATAGTACACAAATTCCAATTAAGAAGCCCGACCCCTGCTGTAGCATGGGAGAAAAGTTTGCATAGGGGCCAGGGCTGGTATATGTAGGACTTTTTTTTTTTTTAAGATTTATTTATTTATGGATACAGAACTGGGTACAGGCCAGAGGTGCAGGACAGTGAGAGGATGTGGATAACCCCCGGGGCAGGCAGGGATCGAACTCATGCGGAAGTGGCTTTAGATTCTCAGTGCTGTGCTTTAACCTGCTGCGCCACCAGGGAGGGCCAGGACTTTTTTTTTTTTTTAAGATTTATTTATTTATGCATACAGAACTGGGGTACAGGCCAGGGTGCAGGGGGTAAGAGGATTCACCAGAGACAAAACGGGGAGCAGAACAGGCAGATTGACTGAAATACACTGCGGAGGGAGCAGTGAGTGAAGCAGGAGAGGTCTGCTGTGCCATGTGGGTCACCTCCTTGGCTGGGGATTGAACTCAAGCTGTAGTAGCTGTTGCTAGCTTCATGGTGCTGTGACTTAACTTCTTGTGCCACCAGGAATGCCCATGTGGGATTTCTTTCTTTCTTTTTTTTTTTTTAAAGATTTATTTATTTATTCATACAGAACTGGGGTACAGGCCAGAGATGAGGAGGGTGAGAGGATTCACCAGAGACAGAGTGGGGAGCAGAACAGGCAGATCGACGAAGTCCACTGCTGAGGGGAGCAGCGGGCGGGTCAGGAGAGGTCTGCCACGCCATGTGGTCACCTCCGGGGCAGGCGGGAATCGAACTCATGCGGAAGCGGCTTTAGATTCTCAGTGCTGTGCTTTAACCCGCTGCGCCACCAGGGAGGGCCGGGATTTCTTTTTTAATGTAATATTTCAGACCTCCCTCCAGGTCAGGGGGCGCTGGGAGAAGCTGGTGTCACGAGCACCATTGGTTTTATCTACGCTGCATGGTGTGGTAGCCATCTTTTTTCCCCATGCTTATTTGCTCCATTTCGGAAAACTCATTTCCTTAATGGGGGAGGTTGATAATGTTGAGTTACTTGAAGTCTGGACAGAGTGGAGCAGCTGTGTCTTTGCTTACATCAGCGGTCTATGTAAGGTTGACCTGCTCTTTTTCACTGGATGCTCTTTGCCAGTTGTGTGACTCACTATGTGAGAACAGTGACCCTGAGTCCCGAGAGCCAGACTTTGCTTTTGCAGTGTGTCACCAACTGGAGCCCTATCACCACCTTGGCCTAGTGGGAATGTAGAACATTTCTAATTCCTAGAAAATTACTTCTCTGTAATGGCAACAAAAACGTCACTTTGTGAGCAGTTAAATCTCTCATGACTGGTCAGGAACTTTGCTTTTAGAACCAGATGCTTAGAAAATCAGTAGTTTGGCGGTGTAGACTTTAAACATTTCAAGTAGAGCATGTTTATGTAGCTACAGTTTGCTATTATAATTTTTTTTGAAGGTGAAGAATATTATGGAAAGCAAAATATAAATAAAAATACATTAGAGGGCCCTCCCTGGTGGCGCAGCAGGTTAAAGCACAGCACAAAGAAGCTTGGGCCACTTCTGCTTGAGTTTGATCCCGCCTGCCCCGGAGGTAACCACATGGCGCTGCAGACCTCTCCTGACCAGCCCGCTGCTCCCCTCAGCAGTGTACTTCGTCGATCTGCCTGTTCTGTACCCCATTCTATTCTGGTGCATCCTCTCACCCTCCACATCTCTGGCCTGTACCCCAGTTCTGTAGGAATAAATAAATAAATCTTAAAAAAAATACATTAGAAATGGTATGTTTGTTGGGTATTCCACAGGATAATTATTTTGTAATCAGATACCTTTTTCACAAAATAGCAGATTTTTGGGTTATAATTAGATTTATTGATTAGTGTGTTTTTCAATTCTTATTTTGAACAATAATGTATTTGTAAGTACAAGTTGATTAATACATTGTAATCTTAATCATGAAAGAGCAGAAGATGCAGCTGGCAAAATATCAGATTTTTTTTTTAAAGATTGATTGATTTATACATACAGAACTGGGGTAAAGCCAGAGGTACAGGGTTGGTGAGAGGCTTCACCAGAGACAGAGTAGGGAGCAGAACAGCCTGATCGACAATGTGCATTGCTGAGGGAAGCAGCGGGTGGGTAAGGAGAGGTCTGTCCCGCCATGGGATCACCTCTGGGGCTGGGGATCGAACTTGCACTGAAGTGGCTGCAGCTCCATTGCACCACCAGAGAGGGCTCTCAGATTTTTTTTCAAGCAGAAGACGGCATACGAGATGTCGAGCAGTGACTGGAGTTCAGACGTGTGCTCTTCCGCTCTCAGATTTTTTTTTTTTTTTTTTTTAAAGATAAGACTGTACACGGAAAACAAAAATAACTTTTAATAGGATCCTGCACGTCTCTTTAAGGCCTGCAGTCAAAGTTCTCGGTGGCTTTGCTGTGAGTATGCCAGTGTCAGATGGCGCAGGGTGACTCATCTGTGCTGGAGAGGGAAAAACATCTCCCCTGAGCTCAGCCAGCTCCTGGTTTTGACCTTCTGCTGCTGCTAGTGCCATATGATACTGGTCAAGTTACTGTATGCTCTCAGCCACAGTCTCTGTCTGGAGCCTTCTGTGGCTCTTGGGAATGGCATTGCACAATTGTTCCAGAGAGTAAATGGAAGAAGCTATAGAAAATATCTAGGGTCTAGCATATATGTTGCTAGCTCCATTTCCCGCCTTCTGATTACTGCTCTGGGCTTGCCCTTTTGCAAGCATGGTACTGTGCTGTTAGCTTTGGCAGTCAATATGGAGAACAGTTAAAACCCTTCATTTTCCAGATAATGAAGTCTAGGCCAGAAAAGGAGGGTAACTTGCTTGCAGTGTCTTTGAAGAGAAGTTAGAAGAGAAGGGGCTAAAGCTATCTCATTGGATGTTCCACTTTTTTTTTTTT